TTAAAAACCAATTCAAAGATATATATATAATAAAATTAAAATTTTATTAAATTTTAATCCATATTTATAATTTCATCAGTTTATCAATTTTTAAAATATTTTAGTTACAATTTTTTAACAAATGATCTATTTTGATATAGTGACATTGAATTTTAAGTTAAGATTGTTTATTTTTAATAAAGTACATATTTAAACAATACGAAATCTCTTTCTCTTTTTTCTCAATTAATTTATAAATAATTATAAATTATTAAAAACAAAAAAATTTAGCGCACCCCTCACCCACATGTCAATATTTTTACACCACCAATAGCTGTGAATGTCACATCAGTGATGTCTAGGGATTTTAAGGACACATTTCACGTGGTTGCTGAGCTTTAGGCCCTCACCGGCCTCCGGTGTCAGACGTTGGTAATAATTGTATATTTTCATTCGCTCAACCTTTACATCTCTCTTCACACGGTCACACTAGCCTTTTTTTTGTTTTCTATGGGCCAATAATTATTCTTTTTGAATCAGTTATCTTGCTTTTGCAGAAAGCTGATCCCTGCTGCTGCTCAGCTTTGACTGCATGAGGTTGAATGGCAGGCAATTCCCATTTAACATTTTGGAAGCGGGGCTATTGATATTGACAAGAAAGAGGAATCCAGGCAAAAGGGATCTATTTATCCTTAAAGATTTGGCAAAACCATAAGTTAAGCCCCTGAACCAACCCCAGAATCGCTATTAAGCCCCTAGACTCTAATTGGTGCATATAAGCCCCTGAACTCTACAATCCGAGCAATTTTGCCCCTCCTCTCACAATCAACTTAACTGCTGTTAACTGTCGTTTGAGGACTGCATCTGTGGCGAAATGTGGCTGTCTCATGCTTACGTGGCAAGCGATTTCTCTGTTAAACAGCAGTTAAGTTGACTGTGAGAGGAGGGGCAAAATTGCTCGGATTGTAGAGTTCAGGGGCTTATATGCACCAATTAGAGTCTAGGGGATTAATAGCGATTCTGGGGTTGGTTCAGGGGCTTAACTTATGGTTTTGCCTAAAGATTTTGAACTTGAGGTGTTTTATTTTTTATATTTTAATATATAAATTTTTATTTTTTATAACTTTTAATTTAAAAAAATAAAATAAAATTTAATATGAGATAATAACGTATTACACGTACATCATTATTTTTATTATAGATTTGAATATCAACGTTAATTTAAATTTTTTTTAACATGTCAGCAAGTTAACTTAGATCCTTTCTTTTCAATATATTTTATTTTTTTTGTTCCTCCCTTTCTTTTTTTTTTTTTTTTTTCTTCAACTTCTGCAAATCCAATCATCTCAACTAATCTCTACCCTTATAATTTTTTCATCATCATCAAATAACAAAACTCACAAACAAAATAAAAAATTTTTTTTTTTAATTTTCTGCCACTGGGTTCGGAGGAATCCAGCGCCTGAGTTCCTTGAAACCCAGGCACAAGTTCTTCCGAACCTAGGCCCTGGGGTTCCAAGGAAGCAGAAAGCATGGTTTTAAAACTCGGCCCGATCCGATCGATTGAACCGGTTGAACTGGACCCGGGCTTAAAAACGGGCTGATTTCATGCATTGGCCCGTTTTGCAAGTTGGCCCGTGTTAGCCCGCCGGACTCGCCAGACCCGCTCCAAAGTTCCAGCCCGTCCCACCCGCCGGGCCATCCCTCTTCCTCATCCCTGCTCCATCTCCGTGAGTTCATCGGCATCTCACCACTGCTCACATCTCAGGCACTGGCAGGATGGAAATCTATTTGGTGACCCAAATCATGCGTAGCTAGCCTTACATAGTAGGATTTGGTTGCTGCTGCTCACTGCTCAAGCAAAGAAGGATAAAATTTGTTGCCAGAAAAAGGAGTAGATAAGGATTAGGAAGGGAGCTTGAATGGAGAAAAATGGTAGAAAAAGAAAGAAGATGATAAGGCGAAGAAGGTGAAACAATGGAGGGGTACTCTCTTTAGTGGATAGTATGTTGACACGTGATTGGTGTTGTTTTTTCTTTCTTGGGCAGTGCTAGCTATTTTTTGGGCAATATTAGCTGGTAGGGGCACTCGCCTCTGCACTCTCCAGCCGACACATGCTTTTTTATTGGGCCACCTAAGCTTACTTTCATGAAATGATGGCCTCTATGGAAACCCAATGAAAATGGAAGTGTTGGCTGGAGAGTGCACGTGGTTAGTGTTCCTACTTCCTAGCATTGCTCTTGTTTTTTTCATATATATATATATATATTT